AAGTTATGAAGCATCCGAGTGGATTCCAATAATCTTTTTTCTCCAAGAACAGATGAAATGTTTAACTGTAAAAAGACAACCCAAATTGTCTGAATAAAAATAAGACCATGCAAATAACTACTGTAACTTAATAAAAATGGGTTCCCTTTAAAATCAAACCAGAAGAACCCCTTAGCTAATGTTCGTTATGAGAGAGCATTTATCAAGATGAAAAGCTTGGTACTTCAGTTGTCAGTTTGAGCTCTCAGTGACTTTATGTTTTTTTTTTTTTTGCAGGGAAGTTCATCTTGTGAACTGGAGGAACAGCACATATAGCATTTTTGCGCGCTATTGTGAGGCAAATAAATATCTTTTTAATGTATTTTTTATCATTTCTTTATTGTACCATACACCCAGACATCTACCATTGTTTCAGACTCAGTGAGTGTGAGAAACACATATCTTATGCAGAGGTTTTACAAAGGCCAACTGACAGAGCTGAAATCTCTTTGGTGTATTTTCTGTGATCTAGTCCCCATGCAGTAACCTGCTTTGTGGGTTTTTGCTGCCTCTAGCTACCTCATATTGAAATTAATTATCCCTACTGCTGTGAAAGGCAGTTAACCAAAGAGCACAAGAATGAACATGAACACCACCACAAAACAAACACTTACCGAATGAACACAAGTACACACAATTTATGAGCATATGCTTTTTGAATCTAAAGTGATTAGCTTCACGTTTCTTAAACAGCACCAAAACATACACCATCCACTACGAAGATACAGACACAGAAAGAGCAGGCTGCCTTTTCCTAATCTCAGCTGACATTTTACACAGTTCTGTAGACTGGTGCAAGCTCGTGTATCGATCGCTTGCTGTACTTCCTCGGCTCGGCTGTGAAACTGTCAGAAAACTTTAGGCGCTCACAGAAGCACCGGGGTGTAACCCATCTTGTCCTGCCTGAGCATTTGAGCAGACGCGGGTAAAGCTAATGGCCTGCCTAATAGCCTAGCTGAGGTGCTGAGGTGAGCCATTTGAGTTTAGGGATCAGGCAGCAGAAATGCCTGCAGAAAACACCAGCACCAAGACTGATTGCGCATTAAATGGTCTATAATATTTTTGTCACACGAGGCGTTTTTGTCATTGCAGTGATTTTTATTTAGAAGCACAAATCATAAGAGGAACAAAGTGTGAAACGGAACTAGATGTAATTTCTAGACTTGCAGTGGGAATATCCTACATTTCCTCTGGGGTTCCTGGTTTGCCTGTGTGCATTCTCCAATTACACTTGCTAAAGATTCAGTATTTGATGATCATTATACAAATAACTGACCCATATGGGCACCTCCACTGAGGATTGTGGTGGGTGTAATCAGCGTTTATTGCCCCTTCATTGATTTTTAGCAGTTTAACTACTTCCATGTAGGAAAATAACAATTGCGCTTTAGCCAGAAAGGATCCTGTCAGCAGAAAAATGGATAAAAAAAGCACTGCATTTGTAGCAGTAAATATTTAATTTAGTGCTAGAAACCAAACCAAACCAAAACTTGACTACAGTTGTTAAAAAAGCTGAAACAAGGTGCTTACAAAATGTATCACTAACAATCAAAGGAGCTTGCAAAGAAAAGCGTCTGGACTTCTTTAAGTTACTTGAAGACGTTTCACCTCTCATCCGAGAGGCTTCTTCAGTTCTACGATCAAATGGTGGAGAGTCCCAGATATAAACCTAGTGGGAGTATCCCCCCACAGAGGGACAAAAGGACCCCCTGATGATCCTTTGCAAGCTCCTTTGACTACGATGACCTGGATGACTGAGAACCTTCACAGACATATCACTAACAATCAGTTTAAAAGAAATAGTCTATTATTAAATGGCTTTGGCAGCTAGGTTTGGAAAATCATTAATTAACCATGAATCACAATGTCATTAGCAGTTTGCCAAACATGTGTAAAATAATCAAATATAGTAAAAACACTGACCTTGGTCTGGGAGTTGAGCATGCCCATCTCCACCTCATTACGGTGATGGCCGTTGGCCTTGCAGAGGTGAATCAGACAGGACTTGATCCTTAGGGCCAAGTAATAGAAGGACTTAGGGCTGGGAACGAGGTTAAAGGGGGCGGGTAAGGTGCGGCCCTCATCAAAGTAGGAGAGCCAAAGCTTAGCTCGAGCAAACTTCCACTCCACATCGGCATCCTCCTGCAGAGGCAGACAGAAAGAAATCCAGTATCTCAAATTATTAGAAACCTTTAAAACCTTTAAATATCAAAATTTGTTTGGTTATACCCCTAAATATCAAATTTGCCCAAAATGTTGACTTTAACTATGTAACTTACATAACTGTTATTTAATTTTTTTTGTAATGTGTCAAATGAAATATTTTCGATGGGAATATATACCAAGCACATTTTTGTTAATGATTATTTGAATGAATAAAACTTTGATTTCATATATTCCAGTTGCATTTCACTCAAAATTATTGTTTAATGTTTATTGAGGGTGAAGAATGATTTTTTCAGCGTAACTATCTCAGGTAAGAAAGACGGCAATAAAAGAAAGGCTAGGGCTTAGTGTTTATTAATATCTGCAGTTGAGATGTTTTAAAAGAGAAGGCAAAGAGAGTTGACTGCATAC